CCATGTAGGCGGCAAGTAATTATATAGACAAATTTGTTTGCTCTCTTCAGCGCGTAGGGATGTCCAGTTAGCCCTTCACGTACTTACTTACTTTACTTGTACTTGAGACGGCTACGATCATTCTTGATCTAGACGGCCTTGATGATGTCCCGAACTGTGCCTCTCTACCCGTGATTCGCGGACGCAGATCAGGACAGCTTAACCCATTCCCTTCGCCAACGACGTAGACCGAATACCGAAGGTCCAAGAAACTCCATGTCTTGACGAACTGTGTCGAGTCAGGTTTTGAACTGGTCCCCTCTTCGATGCCTCCAATGGGGCAACGGTGCCGGATCGAGAGCATTAACACTGAGCTTCTGAGGTAAACGACGAAGAACCGATAGTCGTAGGTCACCCATGTGTTTGGAGGTGTAGACTATGCACAGCGTCCATTAAATGGCACCCAACTATCGCATGTGGCATCTTCTTGAAGCTAAGATCCGCCTAGCGGACACACCCCGGTAACCGCCTCAGCCGGCAGGCTAAACAACGTGGGGATATTCCTGTGCGCATCTCCGTACACAGTTACTCGGCTCCGCTGGCCGGATGGATCGCCACCTCAGTATCGCCGAGATGAGACTCCGTCTGCAACAGTGTTGGATGCCACAAAGTAAGTGACTCCCAATTAAGCAAATCTTGCTATGCTGGATTGCTATTTATCTGCTTGTTCGTGTCCGTCCTTATTGTAGGCTAAATGCCGTTCTGTTGGATTTGCCTGCTCACCGTTTATATTTCAGCAACCAGTTTGCTTAGAGAGGGACAGGAATGCTCTGCATTCCGTCTCTCTATCCTTTCCCACCACCCCTTACCCGCCTTCAAGTTTTACGGCTCGAACGACAGCAATCTCGTTGGGGGGCCAGGCTAACTCGGGTCGTTCTTCCACTAGACACAAAGGTCGTGGCTCATAGTGGAGTTCGGCAACCGTCTAGGATGATTGAGCAGCCTTATTTTGGGACAGCACTGCTCACTCCCGCGAGAAGTATGGGGCTAGAAAAGGTGCCCTAAACAAATTCTGGGATATACTTCGTCTGTAGGCTGGCCGTGGTCGCAGACACAAAACATACGGTCGATATAACCAAATCAGAAACAACGCTCTCTTTCTCCCCCCTTCCACTTCCCTCCGCCCCACTCGCCAGACTGATAGGATAAATCCGCTCACTCTGGCAGCCTTAAATGTCCGTCCCATTTTAGATAATATCAGGAACAACGACCAGAACGGAGGACAGCGCTAGTGGCTCGGGAACTGGCCAACTAAAAGATGGATATCGCATTACTCTGCGACGCTCGGTTCTCCGAAGAAGGCTAACTGAAGGAGGTGGGTGACGGCTACACCTTCTTCTGGAACAGTCATCCCAAGGCAGAGCAACGCAACGCCGGCGTCGTCTTCACCACCCGGACCGACATCGCCGGACTCATGTCCTGTCTGACGCAGGGCATCAACGATCGCTGGATGGGCCTCCGCCAGCATCTTCGGGGTGGCAACTTCACCTTTATCGTCGACGTCTGAGCTCCACCCCCCCCCCCACCCATGATCAGCTCTGACACGATAAAGAACAAATTTTACGAGGACCTGCACGTCCTCCTGGCGACTGTGCCGAAGGCTTATAAGTTGAATGTTCGAAAGAAATAAGCTTTTTGGGAAAGATAGACAAGTGTTATTGGAAATTTTCAATCTTCGTTCCCCAAGTCGTCTTCAGACGTGAAGTAACTGTGCAAAAACAGGCAACATTTAAACAAGCCGAAAAAATCGATTTCGCCTTGTCACTCCTGCTGGTGTAATGGTGTGATTTGCTAATGCCTTTTCCACTTTTCCTTGAGGCTGCTGTACAGCGTATCCAATTCTACGTGTCGATTGATGCATGCGTTATCAGAATGGATTGCCTCTAAAAATCCACGGCACTTTTTAGATGAGCAGACACCTATAAGACAAGTCCTGTTCCAGGCGAATTTGTGTCCAGTTTCCAACGTATGCATGCCAACTTGGGACAAGTAGTTTTGCCTTTTTTGCGGCCAAATAATGTTCGTATTCGTGTAGAGGCCGAGTTCGCAGTTCGATCACAGTAAACCGCATTACAAGTGTCGCATGGTATCTTATACACGACTTCTTTCTTATCTAAATAGTCGACCCTATCCTTAGTGTGTACAAGATGGTTACGAAATGTAGTCGTCGGATTGTGCGCCACGTGTATTTGGTGCCTCCTCAGGTGTCTTTGGTGACTTCAACGCACGCGTCGGCACATACCATGCTGTTTGTAGAGGAATTCTGGGTCTTTATAGTCTCCCCGGCTTCAATGGCAATGACCTGCACCTCCGACGAACCTGCCGAGAACATCGCTTTATACTGATCAACACCTTCTTCCGCCTACCGACGCGAGAGAAGGCGACCTGGATGCACCCTCGGTCAACCGGCTTCACAAAGCCTAACTTAACCACCCTAACGATGTATGTAAAGCGGCCTTAAGCGAATGTGGCTGTGGGAGATGCAGGACGTTTGGAACTAGAAAGGCCGAGGGTACGCGGATCGCAACGAATGAAATGAAATCTTCTTTGTGATCATGACTGTCTACGTCCTCACAGCCAGAAGAACCGCTACCCTTTTTGCCACCACCGGAATTACTCTACTCATTGAGAGGAGCAAATTCTGAAGCTCTCGGCCGAGCAATTCAGAGGCATCCTTAAGCGTCCTTCCATCATCTGCGAGACCGCCATCATCCGACCGCCTAAAGTAGAAACCAACGTCGACCTCGACCTCCTGCCTTTTTTCCAGTGAACGACCAGAGCAGTACCGCAATTCTCCAGCGGGAAATCACTCGGATTAGACACTATCCCTGCTGAGGTTTATGAGCATGCAGCCCCCAAATTTTGAATCACCTGACAGAGCCCTTCCAGGAGATATGACGCCAAGGACAAGTCCTTCAGGATTTCAAAGACGTCACAGTCGTCCATCTCTGCAAGCGGAAAGGGGAACCGCCACATTTACTACACCACGAGGAAATCTTGTTGGTTAAACGCTGGAAAAAATTTCATTCGCGTTCTCCCCAACCGCCTTAATAGCTATGTGGAACAGGGACTCCTTTTAGAAAACTAGTGCGGCTTACACCGTCCTAGCGGTACCGTCGACATGATCTTTGCAGAACCAAAATCGACGATGATATGGCCCTGCGAATATCCAAAGCCAGCCAAGCCTTCGGTTGCCTAAATAACACTGTCTGGAATCGTTATGGTCTCCACCACAGCACCCAGCTCAAGATGTATAAAGTTGTCATCATGATGACGGTGCTGTATGAAGCGGAGACCTGGACGGTTTACAAGAAGCAGGCGCGTAGACTCAATCACCTCCACCTCAGCTGTCTTCGACGGAAATTGAAGCTGAGGTGGCAGGACCGAATCCCAGGCACGGCTGTAATAGAGCGAACGAGAATTCTCTGCATGTATGCCATGCTGAGACAACTGTGACTGCGTTGGAGCGGCCACCTCGTGGGAAGACATCGTCCGGCTCCGACCGGCCCTGAGGACGTCAATGAAGGCAGGAGCAACGATCTATGAAGGAAAATGCATAATCGCCGCCAAAACTAAACGCGAAGCTCAAAAATCCCTGCTGTCCCACCTCGCAACGCGAACTTTCAGTCGTTCCCAACATGCCCACTGCGTCAGCAAACATGCCGGATACGAATCGGTCTTATTGGATATCTTCAGACCACTTGCAGCGTCCGGGCTACAGTAAATGCTGACTCCGCGTCGGCCTCTGTTCCAGGCCTATGCCGATAATTAACCCCAACGGTGCTCCCGATCCCCCGTCATTATCCTACATCATCATCCTGGCCGCAATATCTGTCGGGAAGGCTCCTGCTTCCACCCCCAATGCAAACAATCATGACGCACCACCAAACATCAACCTTGCCGCCACCAACACCAATGATAATGACTCGGTCCCAACCTGCCCACACCGTCATCCCACCTTCACCTCACGCATCGGCCTGCTCGACCACCTGAGAATCCGTCGTGCGGAGACTGGCAAATCAGTGCCTGGAGCACCGATATACACTCGTCGCATCTCTTCAACTGCTCTAACTGCCCTCACATACTCACGCACCGTATGGATCTACTCGGTCACCGTCGTATTCATGACAGCGGAATTCACCGCAATATCGACCGACCTGGTACACCTTGAGCACCCACCATACCTAATCCCATCAAGACCTCATCGTCCAACGCGCCCAGCACTTAAACCGCCTCTTACGCTCTTGACCTATCCTGCTCACACTGTCCCCTGATGTTTACCTCACACATCGGCCTGGTCCTTCAGTTGCGAATCTACCTCACAGAGGATGGCGAACCAGTGCCTGGAGCACCGACATACACCAGGCACACTCATTTCAGCTGTCCTCATTGCCCCCGCACACTAGTTGTTGGTTTTCCATAAAGAGCTCCAGCAGCCTAAACATGCTAGGCTTGTCTGTTAAGATATCTTTCAGTCATCTCAACTGAAACAACACACCATATCGTCGCAAGTGATATTAAGTTCGCGAGAACAATAAATGCCTTACAGTTGATGGCGGACTTATCCGCGAAAGTATCAACTGGCAAAAATAACACCGGACACAGGTAGGACACAGATCTAACATCTTAAAAACGAATAGTATATGCCGACTGTGGTTGAGGTTCACGCCGTTCATAATCAGAAACAGGTATTGAGACGCATAGTCTGGTGACTCAAACATCGAATATCATCCACCTTAGCTGTCTTACAGTATTAGTATCATCACTATATCTACAGGCTGTGGGTTGAATGGTCATTGGTGTCTGTAAAAGTGTCAGTCAAAGTGTTTGGATCATAGTCTTTTTTCGATGGAAGAATGCCAATTTAAATGACCGCATTCGGTCGTCGAACTGGCCACTTCATACCACAAACCACCACCACCGCTGCAGCAGTAACATGTGGGACACAATATTCACACTTAAGACAAATGGTCCAGGAAAGCATTCATCCCATTTTACAAAACTTAAAATCCTTTAATGCGAATTTTTAAATGTGCCTTTAAACGGAGGACGCGGTTTATATGACTTTCAAATAGGGATTAAGCTTAATCGTTTTCGAATTTTTTCCTTAAATTAGAGAGCTGATTTCTAGTAAAGCATGTTGCGATCGGTCTCTGCAAGTATTTTGCAAAAAACAAGGTTTTTTTGTATTTTCACCCATATCCACGGGGTAGCAAATTCGTTTTGTCAAAAGCGAAAAACATATTTTGTTTTCATAAAGTAAGAGGCTATCTATGCGTCTTAGACACAGTGTCAGCCTCCAGACTAAGCTTATGCTCTTATCACTTATGGACAATCTTTTTATGGGAATATCAAATTTCTGCATTGCTTACAAATGTGCCTGCCAATGCCTAACTCTGTGAATACCATATAATACCAGTAATTGTGTAATTTGTTCGCAGTTTATCCATCGCTGTTTTTTTAAATTTAAACACAGATATTTGTGAACAAGAAAACCGCGTCGTATTTGTTATTCGTCGATGTTTGTGGTATTAGTATTCACTATGTCACTGGAACCACACAAACATGTGCTAATTCAGTGCTTAATTTATAAACATCAGTTAATCAAAAGCTGGCTTATGCCTGAAATTGGGTGGTTCACCCGATTATACACTGGAATAAGTCCTGTAATATTGATTTGTAAAGTCAACAACCTACCTTCGTCGATTTCGTTTCCTTTCTGTAACGATTGTGTGCGCACTGAAGATCCAGAAGATTAAAGGATTTGCAGATGAATTTAATGTCACCAAATGCTAAATTAAATAAAATCGGGATGTCAACGAATGCATGGTGCGCTCATTATTAAATATGCTCGATAGGTAGTTTACGTGAATGCTTTACCTGAATTAATGGTGAAATCTTGGAAAAGTTTGGTAAACTTTTGTCCACCGCCCCAAATGTGACCAATAGATTCCAAATCATGTAGGGGCACCAGCACATGATATAAACTGTTGACAGAGAAATAAAAACGTTAGGACAATTTATAAGTGCCTTGTAGCAACATGAATATTGGAGTGAACAGTACATGCACCTGCGTCAAAGAACGTTCACGCACTTACAACACTTATTTAAGCGCAGTCGGCCAAAAACCAAGTATTGCGGGATAGATCATGACGACTGCCAATGTTTCGACACTATTTCGTATAAAAACAAACTCCGTGGTAGCAAATGTTTGGCTATTCTGAATGCCCTTAAAGATATTTTATTTAAGCACAAAAATATACTTTAGTAACACGATATTATACATGAGCTTCCGCGTTGTTGAATTTTTGTATACCGTCTTACCTGAAACAATTACAAGGGTCATCTTCACAGTTTTTACGCGGGCTCTTGGAATGCAACCAGTGTTCCCAGTAAACTTCACAACCTTCCTTCTATTGTGTTCTTCTGCGACACTTTCCACTTGAATCATATTTTGCTCCCGACGAACATTCGGATAGGCTTCAACGGCGGTCTGACCACAGGCAAATTTCGGTTTTTCCCTATTTGACAGATCTCGGTTTCGTGAGGCTGCTTGCCAAATACGAGCAACCATCAAAACATGGCAGAGAGCGATGAAGAAGGCAGGTAGGATAAATACAGTTACTGCCACACTTGTCAGGTAGACCTAGTGGAAAAAAAATATAGGCTTGTTAGAAACCGTTCTAGAATTCTTGCGCAATGGGCTTTACCTAGCCTCTTCCTATGCGATAGCATAGGTGACATTGTATTCTTTTGCGGTTTAACAACATCAACAGTTTCAGTTATAAGAAGATGGAAGAGAGACATCATCAGAAAATAACTTTAGTTAGGGTTTGTCCTGAGCCTACAGATACATGAAACGCAAACTGAGATTTTAAAATGTATTTTCCGTCAGGAAGGATTACATAAGTGGATTTGTAAGATTGATTACCACGTTTTTGTCATGCCAGGATGCCAGCTCTTCAGTAGGTTTGTTTAAAACCGCTTGCAAGACGTATACTAAACAAAAATGGCTATGTAAATTATGCGGAGTTTTTTACATTGATTTTCGACATAAGCATAAATTTAAGTATATTGTATAAGAAAAACATAGAAGCACACTCCTTTTTCTGCTCATTTGGGCGGAACATTGGGTCTTATTCAGGTCTTATGCATAAAAAGGGTTCCATTGTAATTTTAAACATGATATGCAGTGGCATGTGCATGCTTTACGCTTTTTGTGTAAAGTTATACACTCCTTTACGCTGCTTAAGAGATATCATGTTGAGTATATACAAGTTAGCAATTAATGCGGAAAGGGGTTTAAACCTCGTAGGCAGCACTGATGAGGAA